TTTGATGCTGAGATAATTATTATATTTATTTATAGCACTTTATTTTTTTCGCAGTCACTGCTATCGCCAGCAAGAGAAAAGTGCAAAGTAGAAAAAAGAATAGTGCATTTTCCAGTCCCCACCCACACGGCCCCATCTCTTTCCTTAAAATTAAGATCTTCTCACGCGTCCTCGCATGGCGTTCAAAATCAGTACACGTGTATCCGCGTACGCGCTCCTCATTTAAACTTGAAAACTATATAACGGCTCCCTCTCCGAGCCTCAACACCCGCCAATCTTTTTTTCCAATTCAACTGCAAGCCGGCGATGACCGATCAAGCCGAAAGCAGCGCCGCCGCCGCCGCTTCCGCGGCCAAATATAAAGGGGTAAGAAAGCGCAAATGGGGCAAATGGGTTTCGGAAGTTCGCCTTCCCAATAGCCGGGAGAGAATCTGGCTTGGTTCCTACGATTCCCCTGAAAAGGCCGCGAGAGCCTTCGATGCCGGAAGCTTCTTACTCCGCGGAGACCGAGCCAGTCTCAATTTCCCTGATCGTGCTCAGGAGATCGCCATGTACTGCGCTCGTCGAAATCCGACTGCTCAGCAGATACAAACAGCTGCCGCGCGCTACGCGCATGCGGATTTGCCGGCACCGTCCCAGCCGTCGCAGCCGGTTTTGCAGGTGGCGGAGGAGTCGCCGCCGTCTCCAGCAACGATGACGAGCCAATGGGAGCTTTTGGAGCAATTCATGGCGCCGGCATTTCCCCATATTGATGAGTTACATTATGAGTTCCATCTGGATGAGCGATTGGATCAGATGGATGTGGAAAGCGGTTGGGATTCTGATCACAGTCCCAGTCTTTGGACTTTCTAAAGAGCCAATGGGTAGAGGAATGATGAGTCTGTAAGTTTCTTTTTGGAGTTGACCCGCCCGGAGTTTTTTTTTTCTCCGGTTCAGCTGGATCGGTTTTTTTTTCTCATGGGCTTTAGTTCGTGCGGAAGATACTACGAACGTGTGAGAGTTTTTACTCTACACGTGGAAAATGAGTCTTTGTAGTAGCTGAGTTATAAAGCGAAGCAGATCACCATAATTTAATTGCTCGCAATTTTTTCAAATGCTGATTTGCTGAGTGAAATTCTACTATACAATACAATATTTACAGTCAAATAAAATTTTTGCATTTATTTTCGCATACTTTATAGGGTTTTTTTTTCGCAATTTTATTGCAAAAAATAGATAAAAATGTTGGTTGCTTATATTATTTATTAATTAGTAATCTTACTAATAAATTGAATATAAAATGATTTAAGCAGATTGACGTCCTGTGGAGATTCAGGCTTCGTTTGGGATGGCTTTCTTATTGCTTCTTAAATAACTTTTTGGTATCAAAAAAATTAATTTTATACTAAAAAGCTGCTTTAAGAAGCTATAAAAAAGGCGTTCCAAAAGAGGCTTTTTTTATAAAATTTTGATACTAAAATTCTATTTTAAGAAGCAATAAAAAAAATGAAACCTTATATAATCTTTTGGATGAAAGATTTTTAGTATTATTTTGAAAATAGTCCTTATGAACAACTTCTCCATCGATATTTGACAAAGGTTGACACTGTAGTTGACTAGAAAGTGGTGGGTTGAATGAATATCATTTAATTTATGTTGATGGTCCTAAGATTGATGTACATAATATAATCAAAGGTTTCATTTGTGACATTTTTTTTTTCTGCTTTGCCTTTTAAATTGTAGCCGTAATTTCTACTTGGAAATTATTTTTTTTCATTTTTCAAATAATTTTTTTGCTAGAAAACTTGCTTTTCTATAATAACTTTAAAAAGTTACTTTATCTATATCACTTTTATAAATTAGTAAGAATGCTGTCTCAAATGAATCAAACTGTTGAGTTAAGCCAAATTGTCAAAATTAACACAGACTAAGGCTTCATTTCGGCCATATTTTTACTTTTTTATAAAGCAACATTTTAGTATAATTTTTTTTAATTAGAAATTTTTGTGCTAAAAAATTACTTTAGAAAACAGTGATAAAACTATCTTAAATGAAATCTAATGCTTCATTTGGGAAGGCTTTCGTAATACTTTTTAAAACAACTTTTTTGTACAAAAATTTCTTAAGATAACAGAATTTGTACTAAAAGTAGCTTCAAAAAGCAGTAAAAAAGCCGTTCCAAACGAAGCCTAAATCTATTTCAAAAAGTTAAAGATTAATGCAAATCTTAATATGATTTTATGATGTAGGAGCTAAAAGGATCATCATTTCATTTAATTATTCTTACACAAAAGCTTATGAGCATGAGTTTGACGACCTCAATTGGATTATTAGAATTAATCTCAAGTTAGGCTTGATCATATTTTTCCTAAACAATATAAATTAAGGCTTCGTTGGAACTAACTTTTTTTCTGCATCTTAAAACAATTTTTTAATACAAAAATTAAAAATTTATATTAAAAAACAGCTTTAAGAAGCAGAAATAAAACAGTCCCAAAAGAAGCCTAAATATATTCTCGAATTGTTTATAAGGGTCGTGTTCTCGTGTGGGGCATCTTTCGTACAACTTTTTAAAATAGTTTTTCAGTACAAAATTTTCTTTTTCAAAAAAAAAAAAAAACATTAAAAAATTGCTTTATAATGCAATACAAAACCTATCAAAAAAAAAAAAGCCTAAATTTGACTCAAAGTGGCAAAGGTTCAAGTGACGTTTAAGTTTGAAGTTTGACCAAATAGGCTTTATAAGGAAGGAAAAACCTAACGATATAAAATAACAATAGACAAAATCTTATCTCCAGAAGGAAACATGCAATTAATAAAGTTAAATAAAAAAATAAATAAATATCAAAGCCGAAACAAATCCTCTTAGGAAGCCTGCCCCATCAACAATATATTATAATTATGAAAACGTTGAAAATATGCTTTAATAAGACCATCAAAGGTCAGCTATGGAAATCCAACAGAAGCCGGTTAGAAGCATGTCACATACGTAAAGATTCGAACTCAAGACTTATTGATTCGTAGTAGTAGGGTGTAGGCTCGCGAACCGAGCTTATCGAGCTCGAGTTCGAGCTTGATGAGGCTCGGCTCATGAGCTCACGAGCTGGTTCGAATAATTATTAATATTTTTAAATCTGGCTGAGGCACGCGAGCCGGCTCGAGCTCGTTTATAGTGGGATGAGATCGAGTTAGAGCCGACTATATATCTAACGAGCTGATCTCGATAGTGCCACTACTCGACTCAACTTGTTTACACTCCTATTTGATAGCCAAAGCTCCTAACCAACAAACCATGGCGGGCTACGTAACCATGGTGGGCTTTTTATTTTTTATTCATAAAATATCATTATAGTATAAAAATTAATATTTTTATACTAAAAAGTTAATTTAAGAAGTTGAATAAAAGTCGTCCCAAACAAAGCCTAAGTTTGAAACTAATTACAGTTTTATTAAATTTTTTAACTTTCAAGAGCTTCATTCTCTCGTTTCTCATATTCAGCATTTAAATGGTTAAAAGTTTTTTTTTTTTTTTCAAAATGGTAAATAAAAATTTTAGCAAGCTCTTAAATAAATATGTTTTTCTGTTTAAAAATAAAGTTGATGTAAAACAATCACTTGGTATTACTTTTTTTTTTTAATTTTAAAAAATTATGTTTCGATTGTATTTTTTAATTATTTTATCTATCGAAAATAGTAGATTAAAAAAATAAAAATAATTTTAATTTATTATGAATATTTTTTAAAAACAACTTTCAATCTTTATTTAAGACATTAACTTTATTTTATTTTATATAAAAATATCAATAAATAAAATAAAATATGAAAATAACGTCGCCCTCTTGTGGCATCTAGTTAATGTCTCTCTCTCTCTCTCTCTCTCTCTCTCCTCATCTCACCCTCTCTCTCTCTCTCTCTTTCTCACTCCAATATCATCTCTCTCTCCCTTTATCTCTCTCTTGTGCCTGAGAAGACTACACCAAATTAAATGACACATTATAATGAATGCACTAAACTGTGTGGTGTGTATATTAACTGCGCCAAATAGTTGGTGCATTTTGTATAACACGCCATTTAATTTGACGCAGTTGCCCCTCTTTTAATTTTAATTAATCAATGCTCCTATTAATTTTGATGATTAACTTGCTCTTTTATAAATAAGTCCTATCCACAATCAAAAGGGTATTCTTGAGTATGTTCATACAAATGTTTGGGGCCTGACGAAGACAACATCATTCGGCAGGTGGTGATACTTTATCTTTTTTTTATTGATGATTACTTCAGATATGTTTGTACGTACATCATGAGATGAAAGATCGAGGTATTAGAGGTTTTCAAAACTTGAAAGAAGTGCATTAAAACTCTGACTTGCAAAAAGATTTGATGTATCAGATTAAACAATGGGGATGAATACACCTATGATGCATTCTTAAAGAATTAAGTGCCAGAGATTTGAGATAAAGCATCACTTCACTATCAAGGCGAAACCCTAGTAAAACGGGGTGGCAGAGAGAATGAATTTGACTTTGATGGAGAAATTTGATGTATGTCATCCAATACTGACTGGAATGGAGTTCGATCAGAATATCAGACGAATCCTTTCACTATGGATGCCTGGGGCGTCACACTATAGACTATATCTATCACTTGATTATAAATAATCTACCTTATACAGTTATTAGGAAGAAGACCTCAAAGGAGATATGGTCAAGACATCCTTCTAGAGATTATGAGCACTTGAGAGTGTTTGAGTGTCTAGCTTACTATCATATTCATAATGATAAATTAGAACCAAGAGCAAATAAGGTGATATTTATTGCTTCAATTATGGTACCAAGAGCTTCAAACTTTAAGATCAGGAAGAGAAGAAATTGTCATTAGTAGGGATGTCACATTCAATTTGGCGAGCAAGTGGAGAGTTTTATTAGGACCACAAATGCATTGTAGAAATTAGAGTTTGACGCAACTCCATTTATTCCACAAAAGTCTATCTTTTTTTACTTAGTTACCTGATTCAACTACAAATTAGAAGATATAAATTGATATTGAGGATGAGATTCCTGCTCAGAAATCTATTGCTAGAAGTAGGATTGCTGTCAAAATGTCCCTAAATCAACATTGTTGACGGACCACATTTCATTTGCTCTTTCAGCCATGGAGGCTGAAATTCTAAGTCACTACAAAGACGTTATGGTAAGTCTAGATAGTGATATGTGAAAGAGGGTTATGGATGAAGAGATGGAGTCTCTTCAAAAGAATGCGACTTAGAGGTTGGTGAAGCTTCCTCATGGAAAGAAAGCCATTAAATGCAAATGGATGTGTGCAAAAAGGAAGGATCTCATGTAGCTGATATGCGATATATGGCTAGGTTGGTGGCAAAAGGCTTTGTGCATCCCTCGACCCATATTCACTTGGCAATTATATCAATATAACACACTATGGTCTGATTTTAGAATAGCTCGATCTAGATATTGCACAAGCACTTAACATTATGATCAAACTCATATATGATCCAATAATGAGTCATTGGTAAGCTGTGAAGGGTATCCTGAGGTATCTAAAATGTACAGTTGATGCAAGCTTTGTATTGGAGAGACAACCATTTGTTGCTAACAAACATATCGATGTAAGGTACCATTTTGTTCAAGACTTGATTGTTGAATGCAATATCTAATTAATTTAAAAAGATTGATACAAAGGGGAATTCAGTAGACATGCTCAAAAAGGTACTACTAGTTTAGAAGTTCACAAACTATAGTAGTTTAGTGAATAATAAGGATCATGACTGATTATTCACTTATTTTGAAGAACTACGTTTGGCTTGATGGGAGGGTACAAGGGAAACCATTCAGATGCAATCATTTTGATATTGAAACCATCTACTTTCTGAAGTGAAAGATGTGATTGAGATTATTGATGATTCGTGATCTTTCCAAATTATGTAGAATATTAATTTGGAAAGCTTTTAATGGTTGATTATTACATTGATTTGGAACCT